TTCTCCAGCTACTTAATATTTTAGCATTAATTTTATGCAATATTATAAAAGTATAAGAGTAATTTTATTTCTATTCATTATGTTCATTTAGTTGAGGTTCTTAACAAAATAGAAATAACTTAAAATGTAAAAACATATTAAATGGTTTTTTAATCTATCTTGAGAAAAACTATTTTAAATAACAACATATAAAAATTTAAATAAAATAAAGTATACTTGATTTGAACCTAACTCAATCTTAGGCCTAGTGGTCATTGATTTTGTTCTTGGGAAGTAACTGCTTCAAAATTTGCTATCTGCTGCTATCCAGTTTCACCAGCAGCTTTTTACCAGCAGCTTCCAGAACAGGAATGTTGTTTCCTATGCTTATCTATTGGAGACTCAGGATTTGGTTATTGCAACACCATTTGGCCAACAAAGTTTGTTAAACTTCATTACAGACTTTTTGGCAAGCAAGTCAAATCATTACCTGAACCAAATAAAGTATGTTTAAAAGCCATTCTCAAATTATGCAAGACTTGTTTTAAAATTAACTTGTCGGCCTACATGAAGATTTAGGACAGACCTTGAGAAGAAAAACACCAAACAATGTAAATTTATTATTTGATCATGTCCAGTGACTTGGAGGTAATTTGTACTAGTTTAATCTGGTCACTCTTTAAATAGCTGCCAGTTTTCAAAAAAGCCGATGCTTGTTCACGATGAAGCAATTGAAGTAGAGAGTTAGGCCCAAAAATGACAGGACATATACCTCGTGTGTTGAGAATTCAGAAAAACTAAACTAAAAGAGGAAGGCAATTTTAAGGCTTTGATATTAAGATTCAATTTTTTATTAATCCTCATCACATCTCAAAAATACTTTTATATCCATTTAAACTGACTAGTGATGATGAATTTTTTTTTTGAGCACGGCCGAGTGAACAAACTTTAATTGCCCCCGATTTTGGATAGGGCAATGCAGTAAGCAGTAGCAGGAGACAACACATTCATTAAATACAGTATGAACAGTATTTCATATGCAAAGTAAAATACTTTTGACAGAATAATTGGAATCATCTACTATTTTTTCTTTTGAATAGGCAATTGTAACCATGTGCAGATGTAGCATATATCTGTACCCATACTCTTAAATCTAGCTACCTGGTCTTTATGAAAATGACTTTATAGATATAAACAAACACATACTCCTAAAAAAACATTCTGTATTTCATATCTCTTGCTAAATTCCTTTATCGTAATATTGATATTCTTGCATCTTGAAATAATGTGTGTGTGTGTTTATTTACTTACTTACTTATTATTTATTAATTAAATTTAGTGCCCATCTTACATAAGGTAACTCAGGGTGACTTACAGTCATAAAAATATATCTGCATTAAAACAGAAATAAGTTAAAACCAAAGATTAAAATCTAAGGACACATGGGGAGGGCAGGGGCAGAATGGGGGAGGTGGATCTGTTGCTACTCGATCAACCACCTATTTGAGGTGAATCCTTTATAGCTAAATTAAATTAAATAAATAAGTTTTATCAGATTCATAGTAGATCAATTACTGCTCTGACATTTTCTATCAGATGAAAAGGACAGCTTTTTTTATATCTCTTTAGTTGCTTGTGAATTAATCCTTTCCAACAGATATCTAGGCAGAAGAAATTCCTTTTTCTCTGACCAATAAACTAGAGATAAAGTACAAAGCAGATTGGTACAGGTGACATTTGTTGAAATTGTGATTTGTGTATGCTCAGAATAGCTATTGTGTTTGAAGGGTATATATAAAAGGCCTGGCCAGCTGGGAGAAAAAAGGAGGCCGATCAGCATCATCGGCACGTGAAAGCCTCACCTCCTGCCCTTAAAAAGAACAACATTCAGTTCTAAATATGCATTTTTGAGTTTTTTTACTCCTTCCCATTAAAAGGGGGGGGGGAATGAATGAAAGGAAAATAGAAATGGGTTAACAACTACCAAATGATGATAACTGTTAGTGGAAAAATAAGCTATTTTTTTCTGCCAGGTTTCTTAAGTGATTACAATGTGCCCAACGGGGAGAAAGGCAATGGTTAAATGATACATATTCATATAGGATAAATATACTAGAAAGTCTAATATAAATTACATATTTGCATAGCACAAATATAGCAGAAAGTCCAATATTTATAAATATTACTTTCAGTATTGTTTACAGTAACCTGGTAAGACAAATTGTATTATCATCCCTTTTACACGGGATGAAATTGAGAAAGCCTACTCAATATATAGTTTTCTAACACAAAACTATTCTATTACATTACACTAGTTATCTTCTGTCATTTCATCCTCTTATACTTTAAACATGAATACTGTATCTTAAAAGATGCTTATTAGGTACCTCCCATGAAAACAAATACCAACCTTAATTGAAATCAGAAGAAATATAGCATCATTATCAATCTAGTGCCTTCACCCTGATAGACACTTTTCTTCCCCAGAGGTTATGAAGCATACTAAACTAAAGCCAAATTAAGCGAGTATTATGGTCGCCAAGCATAGTCAGAAATCTAAGTGAGTTTAATGGCCTATGCAGGGAGGTAGTGATGGCCTTTTCAGCTTATACCTCAGTTCATAACAGTTGTTTTCGGTAAACATACTCAGCATCATTACAAGTTCCCCCACATTTTGGTCACATATTAAAGAAAGCCACTGAAAAGGGTGGCTTTAGTAGACCTCAATTTCAGACCAAGCAAACTGAATTCTTGACAGTTATGAAGAACATCTTTCACTGCAAAATATCATATACCATTTCATTCTTTTAAAAATCCCAAAGTAGATTAGAATAAAGTAACAAAAATACAATATCACATGCATACCTTTAGTAGAATACTTTTTCCTGCCTTGGGATTTTGAGTTTCAGTGAAAGAATGGAATGGAGAAGAAAGATACTACTTAAAAAGTATACAGGATAGGTGGGTATGTTTCAGGCTACCTTTCAACTCAAAAGTTCTCTTTTAGCTGATTTTTGCTACTGGAGCAGATAAAACAATCGTTTATATATCTATTCTTTCTCTATATGCAAATGGAGCAAAAAAAACCCTCAGTTGTTTATGCAAGTGTTGAAACCCAATAACTTTTCACTGAACCTCTCCACTCCCTCCCCAAAAACTACCCAGTATATGCAGGCAGTATAAATTTTGACTAACATAGTGATTGCACCAATTTTCTGAAAGTTCTGCTGTAACTTTCATTGTCCAAAGGGCATTGCATACTGTCAATATACATCAATCCTACTGCAAAAGGACAACAGAAGATACAGGAAAGTTAATTGACCAAGATCAGATGGGGTCCCCACTGACCAAATAGAAAGTTTGATAAACTACTTGGAAACTGTTGAAGTTACCCTGAACTATTACCATTTTTTCTATTCAAAAGTATAAAGTATTCATCAGTACTTTAATCTCTTTCTTTTCTTTCCAAACGCATGCCATTCTTTATTGAAAATATTTGTCAATCATGATCATACAGATATTCAGATTTCAGATCAAACAATGTGACTGCAAGCTCCTCAGGGCACAGATCTTACTATTCTGTGCAATGAATGAGCATGGTGTATACGAGTGTAACTGGCAGAATGTACAGACATAGAATACTTGAATGCACGCATTTCAAGGTAGTCAATCCTCTCCAGCTTAATTAACAGGTCATAAAATGAACTACCAGCTTCTATGAATAGAAACATTTAATTAAAACTTTAATTAAAACACCATAGTAGAGGAAGTTGATATTGAAAGACAAGTTAACATTTCGTCACAATTCCATTCAGTGGCTTAGAGTGACAGTAATTTGCCCAAGGTTAAGCAAGCAAACTTCATGGCACAACATGAATTTGAACTCAAATAACTCTAGTTCACATAAGATTATCCTTTTATTTCCCCACATCATCTGCCAGTAATAGTTATGTTTTAGTAAAAAGGAAAACATTTTAAAAGAACAGCTGTTTCTATCTGAGATATTCTATCTGGCACAGCCATTCACAGATGAGGAGCATCACCTTTAGTGAAATCCACAAGTGAAACATTTCTAAGAGAGAAAGACTCCATGGAGATGCTCCTGAAAATCTTATGTATCCAGTAGCAACTGCTGGAAGTCTGGAGTAAGTTTAACTCACAAAAACTGAAGCAAATCTAGATTCAAATCCTCGTTCTACCCTGATAGTCACCTGGTTAATCAGGGCTTGGCACTTACACCCAAAGGATTGTTTCAGTTGAAAGAAAAAGAGGGCTGAGCAAGAAATTTATACAGCAAACTTATATTGAAACATACATATAATACATCTTCCTTTCCTTCTTCCTTCCTCTCCTGGTGAGTGCCTGGACAAGTGCTTAAGAGTTTTCTTACAAGAAAACATTTCCCCTCTTCCTAGGGCTGAGAGAAGGACTAGCCCAAAGTCTCGGAGCTGGCTTTGTGCAAAGGTGCGGACTATAAATCACAACTCCTTGGTTTCTACTCTGGTGCCTTAATTACCACCCCAAAGTGTCTGTTTTCTCTCGAATTTAAATTGCCATTTTGGAAACTCCCGAGTTCTCATGCACTGCAATATGTTCATACGGTACTAAAACGAAGGTCCGGCGTTTACCAAGCGTTCCTCTGGGGATTACACCCCGAGTGGGACGGGAAAAGGAAAGTGTGTCATTGTACACAGCAACCTTTCCAGTTTCTCCTATTGTATGAGAAGAAGGACGAGAGGGGTGGGTGGGCTCCGCACATCGGTCTTCTTCGTCAGGGGCGGCTGCAACCCCACTCCGAGTCTCCCCGCAACGCAAAAAACCTTCGCCCCTCAACTGGAACCGCGGTCACTCCCACATAGCCAGCTTGGCGTTCACGTGCTAGCCTGCTGCTCTTCCACGGGAAAGCTCCTCCGCCATTGGTTGGCAAGGAACATTCGAAGCGCGCCCATTGGCTAGCGCGCAGCTCACCCCCCCTGCAGGATTGTCGGTGGAGGAAACGAGTCTTGTTCACAAGTTCTGTAACTGGATCGGAGCTGCGAGGGAAGCAGGAGGAATTGGTGTGCTAGGGCGGAGGGGAAACGGATCATCTTTAGCAATTGCAGTAACCGCTTGCTCTACGTATAACTCTCAGTTAGAAGGCGCTAAACGCTGCTCGGGGGGGCGGGAGCGAAACAATCGGAGACCTTGAAGTACCCTTTAAGCATCCTGAAATTTCCAGGTATTAAGTGGGAGAAGAGGAAAATTTAACCTCTAGCATACTTGTTTCAAAGTGGGCTGAGCCGGCGATTTCTCAATGTTTGCTTCCGAGGTTGGCTTTAGATTGAGCATAGAAGAAATGCAAATGCATACTTAGATAGCGTACCCAAAGCAGTAATCCTATATCCGGGTTAGCATAGCTCGTGTTCCTGGTGGGTAGGCGGGTGGATGAGCGCTCGGAAAAGAAAAAAAAAGTCTAAAATCGGTGAATATAACAGGAGCAGGCTACGATCTAAAGACGATTCATAGAAGCGAGCGTATTTAAAAATCGTGCATTTGGAATGAATGGCCTTGGAAGCGAAATGGCTTTGAGTTTCGCAAATGGCTCGCTCGTGTCCTGTATGTTATGTGAAATGCTGCTTTCCGCGCCTGGTTACTGCGAAATAGTTTGGGAAGAATCTTTACTGATACTTTAATTTAACAACCCACCCCCACCCCCCAAATGCTTGGATGGATTCTTTGAATGCTGAAAGAAAGGGACGCACTAGTTGCTTGGAGGAATTAAAAGCATCGGAATTTTTTAAAAAAGTGACCTGACAAGGTGCGGATCGCAGGTCTTGGACTTTCTAGGTGGACGAATGAGGCCCCCATCTGGCCATAGTCGCTTTACTTGCAAGCTCGGAGCACGTTATAAAATTCATTCGGGGGGTGCGTGTGAATGATGAATCTGCTTGTTTGGGGAGGGATCCAATGGAATGTTTCCATAAACTTCTCTTTAAAAGTCGTGCAAATAGCAAAAGGGTTTTAAGGTGCAAATTGACCCCAATGAAGCCCATCGGGATTAAGAGGGCTTCTTGAAAGTTGTGGGTATTGACCTTCTAACCTTCGTTTTTTACAAGAGTTTGTTCAGCTGTAGGGCCGGCTGAAATGAATGGGAGCCACCTATGAGAAAGCGTGTTTGGGGACTGAGCCTGGTGTCCTTCAGGCCGTTTCTTCCAAAAGAAGGTGGGGAGATCTCTGAGGGAGTATGGAGATGTTTCTTGGTCTATATTTTGCCTCCTTTTAGAGCTTCGAAGCTAGTTGCTAGTTTCCTTTGGCATGGGAGGGACTGATTTGATGCTTGATTCGGATAAACTCACCTACCATACCTTCTTGTTTTAGGGAATGAATTTGTAATACCTGCAGGATGTGAAATTCTGGTATACTTCTTGTCTTCTGCCCCACAGCTTGAAGCAGCAATCCAGTTCATCTCCTATGCCCCTATGAGGTATGTCAAACATATTTTTTAAGAAGCAAGAAGAATCTTTTGAAAGTTAATTTTCTCTTGTCCACAATCACTTATATATTAAGAATTCAATGAGATTTACTCCCAGATAAATATATTTCTGTAGACATACAACTCATATTTATATGTAGTTTGCGCATCTGTATACAAAATATGTCAATATCTTGACATATTTAAATCACCCCAGGGAATTCTGGAGTTCTTCGTTCTTTGAGATGCTGTCAGATATCCATAGTCCTTTAATTAGCATACGGCTATATTCTCGAAACAGTGAAAATGTATTTTGAGTTTGTGTGCTGTATATAGGATCAGTCTGCACTTCTGTATTACGACTGTGATAGATCAGGGGGACACCTGACATCACAAATCCTTCCTTCAAATATCCAGGGGTATAGATTTCCTGTTGCTGACTTGTTTGTATTAGTAGAAGGATGACTAACTGTGTAAAACCCTTAGCAAATCCCAAAATGTAATACCTGATCTAATCAGTGAACTATTTTTAGTAAATATCGATAAGATAAATATTTAGTTTTAAACAAGACTGGTAATCTAGCTGAGATTGCATAAGTAGGAATGGATGCTGTCATTACAAAATGTCAAATTTCCATACTAAGAGTGTCGGCTTCATACAATTAACCATAAATCCCATTGCTCCCTTATGTTTTCATTCATTTTCATATTCCAAGGAGGCCAAGTCAGGCACATTTATAATTAACGAAGATAGAAAAGGGGTGGACCACTCCTGCTTTTCCCCACATTTACAACAGAAGCATGCTTTCTAAATTTTAGATGCTGTATTTAAATGGAAAGGCTGCTGTTTTCAGAGGTAGCACTTTTCAGAGGTAGTCTTGCTGGAAATCAACATGATGGCCTAAAAGGATCTTGACATAATCTAGTCATTACAGTTTTTGGTCAAAGACCAAAAAAGAAAAAAAACCCAATATAATCCAATAATGCAATGCAATGGAGAGTTAGCATATTAGAGGGAGAAAAATTAATGCTAATCGTTAAATGTTGGTGGCCTTCTACCAGAGTTATAATTAATTATCCAGCATATTCTGATGGCAGTTGAAATTGATCAAAATGAAACAAAGTTCACAGAAGTATTGATTGATTGATCCATTCATAAAAGGTGCATTTCAGGCACTTAATTCACTTAATAAGGAGGGTAAGCATTAATTCATAGTGCCAAGTATGCTACTAAAGGGTAGCTCAGCAACACTTATGAAATTGTCCTGATGGCCACATCCAAGTAGGACAGAAGTATTCTAAGTAACATCCCTTATAATAATATCCCATTCACACATGCAGGAATAATAATAATTTTTAAAAACTATAGTGCTTGTTAGTATAAATGCCTTCCTGTGCAGAACAGAGAGAGTGTAAGAGTTCCAATTATGTCTTGATAAAAATCAGCTGCAAAGGCCCCCATAAGAATGGGTTGAAACGTTGAGTAAGCAGATCCCTATCAAGGATCCTCTATTTGGCCTCTAGCATGATTTTCTCTGATCCAAGCATAAGCAGTGAATGAGCTGAGAAGCTGGAGTTAAAAAAAAAAAAAGCCAAGGATATATTTTTTTTCTAAGAAGAGGCAGAAAGGGTTGGTTGAACTAAGGACTCAACCCAGAAATTTAATTTTAGGTAATATTCAGATTTTCCATAGTGTCACAACCCACGTCCAAAAGAACTTGTTTCACCTGGATCACTAAATATAAAGCATTCTGGTGCATTTTGACTGAGTTACTTCTATAATCTTCATAACTTTATTTACTTACCGGTATTTACTTTAATCTGCAAAAGCAATTCCTAGGCCAACAATGACCTCAATGGTTTGATACTCACCTCTCTCCTTCAAAAAGTCAGCATAATAACATAAATTGAATAAATTTGGGATGTGTAATTTATATATGTGTATATGTATATGTGTGTGTATACACACACACACACACACTACTGAAAAATACAGATAGCCATTGGGTTATGATGGCAATTGGGACTGGGATTGCATCACTAAGCAATGTTATTGTAAAGGTCATGTGACTACATCACTTGGCGATGGCAATTCTGGGTAGTTTTGGTTGCTGTTGTAACCCCAACACATGCAGGTTATTATGTGGGATGAGACGGAAGTCCTAGGTAAATAGCATGGGATGCTGTGGGGGGATGGAGACTGGGGAGAACCTGGGAAGGCCAGTGGAAGCATGGGCAGGAAGGGCAGGTACTACAACTGGGAGAAAAAGTGAGACCAACGCTGGAGTAACTTGTGACCTTCTCTACTAGCTTTCCCATTAAATTTGCTTGTGGGATGCCAGCAGCAAAGGTCACCAATGGCAATCACATAACTGTAGCGCCTTGCAACATTGTAATTGTACACTGGATTGTGAACATGACCACTGAGCTTCTATGATGGCCGGAATTCTGATGACAAGTCATATGTCCACTGTTTCAGTGCTGCTATAGCTTTAAACAGGTGCTGAATAAATGCACATAAACTGAGGACTAGCTGTGTAAATTGAATGCATTGTTAAAATATGTCAGGAACAATTATAGAGGGGTTTTCTGCTGTGGTTGTAAATAGTAAAGAAACTAATATCGTAAAAAAAGAAATAAACCTTAATAGGAGCCAGCAGCAAGGGGTGTGTTTGCTTATTTGTGTTATCTATTGGCAGCACCCTTTGCTTTGAATAGATGTCTAGGATATCTTCAGGATTACAGTAATCATTTCCTATAATTGAATGCTTTGCTATTCATCTTGCAGTTATAATTTGGTCAGCAGCAGTAAAGCTCAGATGGCTGGCTCCCATGCTAGCAGCATAGCGTTGTTTCCTTCATGTGAGTGGATCAGTTGAAAGAGATGCAGCTCACAATGGAGTCAGCATCATATTGTGGTTAATGTGTTGGACCAAACTGGGGAGAGGGGGTACAATGTTAGAGCTCAACGAATGATACTGGGTGTTTTCTCCAGTGTTTTCTCTCTCAGCCTAGCTACCTCCATATTTGTTGATCTTCTGTGCATGTGTGTTTTTGTGAGTCCTCAGAGGACAGCTTGGGATATGGATTGAAGAAATAATATTACCCTCTCCCAGGAGAGCTGTTGATGCTCAAATGTAAGGAAGCACAAATTTCTTGTGTCAGACATGCAACTTGACACGTAAGCACCAGCTGTCTGGAGAGCTATTCGTAATGTCTCCAAAAAGATAGCAATATCACAGGAAGTGTAGAATAGGGTTTTTTGTTTTGTTTTTTTGTTTTGCTCTTTGTGGTTTTCCTGAAGATTAAGGCTAGGGGTGAAAAGGGGAAGTCCATGGAAGCCCTACTGCACTCATTTCTAGTGTTTAAAACCCTATGAAATTGGCCTAAAGCGGCAAGTAAAATTCAGCAGCTAAATGATCGAATTAAGAGAGATTGGGAGCCACTATGGGTTGTACGATGCAAGAGGTGGGGTGTGGGAGTTGGGTTGGAAAAATAATGCCGTTTGCCTCTCAAATGCCTAATGTTCCCTCCCCCACTCGCCCCATTTTTGGAAGGAATTAGCATAGATATTGCACCACTGAAAATCAATTATTTCCTACTGAATTGCAGCAGTGCAGTTTTAAAGGGGGGGGGGGGCTGTAAATTGGGTTCCAGGAGCTGCATTTGGGTCACAGGTTGGAAAATACTTTATTAATGAATACTAAAATGCAAGAGCCAGTATGAATAACCTTTGCCACTTTATGAGCTACAAGATGATTATTTCTTCAACCTGCATTCTTGGAATTGGACATTGAGTTAACTCTTTGAATTTATACTTTTGCTAGGCCATCCCATCTTCTATATTCTTCTATATCCAACTTACAACTCATAAAGCCCTTCTTCCCACCAGCCCCCTCCCATGCTTTAAAACGCCACTTCAACTTCATAGGGCAGGTTTTCTTCATGCCGCTCAAAGTTTTTTTTATTATGCTCTGGGGGAAGGGGAGATAATCTCAAAGAACCGCACTTTTGATTGCAGCAAATAGTTATAGGAAAAGGGTAAGCATTCCATGGCCCACACAAATACCAGGAAAAATTCAGCAGGGTTGGTGGTACTTCATGCATTCCACCCTTGAAATGGCAGATAAATACGTTTAGCGCTCAGGGGTTCTGAAGATGACCTGTACTGCTAGGTCTTAAAGTTATTAAAAAAAATTGAGAAACCAGTCTTTCACAATAAAGGTCATGCAGAGCTGTTGAAAGCTTTATAATCAGTGATGCGGGTAAGATAAAGGGAAGTCTGGTGGGGATCAAAGATTGAGTCAAAAGCTTCCGGATATGTTTTTAATTGAGAAACAAAAATCTCCTGTCATTTGCATAGAAGGAAAAGACAACCAGTATGTCTGAAAGCTGCTTTTGTGCACCGCTTGGAACTATTTGGAACACGACAGCCACTAACTAAATCATGCCTGTATTTTCAAGAGAGTTTAAAATGCAATAGAACTGGTTGAAAGAACATTTAAATCTGTTTTTTTTTTTTTAGTTTCAGCTAAAGCTAGGCAGATTCCCTGGACGTGGGCCATGAAGACTGCAGATTATATAAACTGAAATCCGACATGTCTGGCAGATAGCAGTGGAGGAAATCTGTCAGGTGCTAAGCTTGTTTATTTGGGTAAACTGGAGAGTTGGAGTTGATCTTAATTTAGTAACTTTCAAACCTGTTGTTTTTTTTTAAAGATGCATGGCTTTGTTTGTTTATATTCATGTCCTCATTCTCAAACAAGCCAAGAGTAGCGTACATGTCATAGTCTCCAGGAGTGTCTGTGGGAAAGGAGGAGGGAGTGTCAAGATGGTGGTTGTGTGTAAATTTTGCAGTCAAACAAACATTATCTTAACACTTTTGACACATGCAATGTGCACACACACACCCTGGCTAAATGTTCCTGGTAGTCATTTACTGAAATCTTTATAGAAGTGCAATTAGTTCCTATTCATCTAGAACCAGTTTGAAGACTTAGAAACCTGGAGAC